TAAAGTCAAGGGCCCAATGTAAAAAAAAAAAAAACCTGTGTTCCCCTTTAAATTTACTTTAATAAAAAAAAATAAATCTATCCATGGGGCTGAGGAGGTGCTTTGTCAAATTTTTAAAACTCATTAAATACATTTATTATATTAGGAGGCTGTTAAATTAACTTACTATTATAAAAGAATCATATTTTGTAAAACCACACCATTGTCATACTGTAACTCTTAAATGCAGATCAAGATGGCCTGGAATATTTAAAAAAGATTAAATGTATGTGCAATACATTTTATTATATACAACTTTTACTATTAAGATTTATTTTTTCTCTTTTTATATGAAGGTAAAATAAGGCACTAAAATAGGGTTTCTATACTTTTTAACAATCTTTGCAAATTAAAGTGATCTGTTCAGATAGACCCTTGTTCAAAAAGTCGAGGCTGTAGTTATCATAAAAAGCTCTTAAACGTGTGATATTCTGACTGAAATTGCATGTTTTGAAGAGTTGTTATATAAATTAGCTGAAATTCTTCAGTTAAAAAGAGAGAAAAAAAACCCTTCCATCTAGAGGTCAGTGCAGAAACCTTCTGGTCCTTAAAAGCTCATTTCACAGGTTTTTCTTTTTCTCCCAGTTCTCTCTAACTGTTGATTGATTGGAGGAGAGTGGCAGACTTACAAGGCAGCAGAGTGCAGCCCGGCTGAGAGCTGACCTTAAACACTCATGCAGACCCATCACATGCATTTATGAAGCCTTCACAGCTTCTGCTCCTGTACAACGATAATCACATCATTGGACACACGGGTTTAAGACTGGGATCAATATCTCATTAGGACAGAATCAAAACTATCTGTTTAAAAAAAGCAAATAATCATTTATGGCAGCTTGATCAAATTTAGCCAAATATTGTGGAACTTATTGCAAAAATGTCCAAGTGTTACAGCGTTATGGTATTAACATAAGATTTAAAAACCAAAAAGGCTCAGTGCTGGAAGAAACCAACCTACTAAAACAAAAGTTATCGTTAATCTAATATGGTATTAAAGATTTTAGGGATTAAGTATCCTAAATTCCCTAATGATTTACGTTTTTAGATATATAAACTAATATTCAATAAATCTACTTGTTTTTAAAAGCAAGTAAAAGCCTTAAAACATTTGAAACAAACAAACAGGCATGCTGGCAGAGTAATTGTAAACTGCCCATTATGTTGGGACGGAGTTTAAAATGGGACAGGACCTTTTTCAACACAAATTGGTTTAAAGCCCTAAAACTAATCAAGGATCCAATTAATCTCAGGCGCCACGAGGAAGACTATTTGTGGTTTTCCACTTCGTAGTTTTATGACTTAATGGTCATTTTGTAGAGATGTAGTGAGAGAATAGTGAATGGTCCCCATTTTTCAAAGGACTCTCAGCAGCCAGCTAATGGGGGTAGACCTTCAAGGACAAACCTATAGATGAGTTCCCTTTAGTTCAGCCTCAGTTGGCGGTTCCCCAACTTCTCTCACTTGGCCGCCGTTTGATTAAAAAGGAACGTTTCAACTATCTTTCAATAAAATAAACTAAATCACTTATAAATGACAAAACTATCGCCTTTAAAATGTAATTATTTAAAGTTTAACCCTTTATTTTCTCGTGTAACAGAATGAAACATTGCCATCAATAATTTCTTCTCAAACTTGGTAAGTTATAAACCATTAATGTTGTCACTTTGCCTGTACCAGCACCCCCATGTTTTGACTATAGCTGTGTTTCCATCCAATTATAATGCAAATGTTGGAAATTTTGACTGAAGTTTTCAAATGTTGGAAAAGAGAAACACAAATTAGAGAGATTTCCGTCCCTTGGAGCGAATCAACCAGGCAGTGCAAAGTTTGGATTATGGGTTTCGCTGTAAAGAAACAGGAAGTAAAGATGACAATTGAGTACAAAACCACAGATAAGTAATAGAATGAAGCTTAAATGGATGTGTTGCAGTTAGTCAAGTTACACTTAAATAATCATGTCTGTTTTCATCTAGGCCTTCTAATGCGATGCTTTAAAATGAGCGTAAAAATGTTGATGATTACACTTCCTGTCCACATCTATAATAATGGTGACTAAAGTGTTTAACAAAATGTGTTTATAACAAAAATACAGAGATAAAAAACATAGAACACAGGTTTAAATCAAGGTAGATGAAATCAGAGGATTCGACACATTCTTAACTATTAAGGTGCGTTCTTGAGAGAACGGTGAACATGTTATTCCTATGTTGAGAGCGGCCTGGGAGCGAGGTTAAAGTCGTGATTCCAGCCTGGTGAAAGACACGTTTTTGGAGAATACAGCAAAGCGTGTGCACCACCACAGCTGCAAAAGAGTAAAAAATCTTTTGTGTATATTTGCCTCATGAAAACCAATCAGGAATTAGATGTGGTTGTGATGTTGGGTGAAGGAGCTCAGCGTAAACAAGTTTTTTTCAATAAAAATAAGAAATAGAGAAACTAATGTTGACAAAGGATGAAGTAGAGCAAGCTATTAAAAAGGTTGGTTGGTTGCTTTGAAAAAAAAAACAACATTTTAATTTAGCCCAAGAATGACTACCGGTAGTTGTCATTTTTGGATCAGAATGACAACCAGCATATTCAGTGACAGTAGTAGCCATTCAAACTTTTCCCACTTTCATTAATGAGCCCTTGGCTGGTCCATGTACAATTCCAACATCTAAAATATTCTTTCTATCATGATTCGTGGACATTAAGATCTAATGAGAAGCGTTATCGTTTGTTCAGACCCTGTAATTCAGTGAAATGGTGGAGTCAGAGTAAAAAAATATGCACACCCATCAGAAGGCAAGTGGCTGGAAGTTGGAGGGGACTTTGCCGCCATTCGGCGGACTTTTGACTGGGAAGGGCCATTTTGATTGGCTGCTGCTGTAATTACTGTCGGCCGGCAGGGGATTTTCTGGTAAAATGTCCAGCGAAAAAAAGCACACGAAACCTGTGTGTTTGATTTTAATTTATTAATTTTATTTTTTGCAGATTTTGTGTTTTATGTGAACGGACTGTTACAACTTGATCAGAATAAAAAAGTCTAGAACTTTGATTTAGGCGGGACCAGTTCAGTTATAGGTCATGGAGCTTTAAGAGGCAGATTTTAGAGCAGAGGTGCAGCTACAAGAACTGACTTTTATTCACATTGGCTCTTGTTTTTTTGTCCATGTTTCTATGGGTGAAAATCGACACATTGATGCTGAAAGGCTTCATTCATAGAATTAGAAGCTTTAATTTCAGATCTAAAACCGCCTTTCTGACCCCATGGCAGCACCATATATCTAGTATAGAGTTGCTCCAGATTCTGTGGAGGAGATGAAGCTGTGACCATTAATAAAGCGATCCGCTGACTCATTCTTATGTGTGATGTTGCTTCTGAGGTGAGAGCAGAGACGAGACGTCTGTGGTCAGGATTAAAATCTAATTCTGACTCACTGTCTTTATGCTGCGAAACTGTATTATAATCTATTTAACGTCAGAGGATGTTTTTTAACAGTCAAAGATATTCAATAAAGATGAGAGATGGATCTCTGGAGAACATAAACCGCACACAGTCCCAGCTCATCTTTTCTTATGCTTCATTTTTATTTTATTCTTTAAATCATAAATAGATTCAAATTATAAGTTATTTCTTTTAAGAGTGGATTTAGTCTCTTTTACTACAGATGACTGCAGAACAGCATTGAGGTTAGAATTTATTACAGTTTTAAGTTAATAAAACCTGTTTATTCTAACCTAATGATACAGATTGTTTTAGTGCATTTATTAAACCTGATAACATTTTACACATACAGCAAAATTCCAACAAACTCAACTCCATAGTTTATAAAATGGGATGGAGGAAGCAGAGGCTTATTGCATTTCCAATCCCCACCATCGCAACAAAGCAATATAACACTTATAAACACAGACTCTGACTCACAACCTTCTCTCTTTATTTACATCCTCTTAGCTGAGGGCATTGTTTGTTAATGTGGGGGAAAAAATCAGTTAGAAATACACAGCCTGGGGCATTGAGGTTGAATCATGGAGCCAATCAACAGCTTGTCTAATTAAGAGTTTAAATCAACGTTAATATTAAGGGTTTGCCTCACTTTCCATTTGTCAGTTCTTTGAGACATCATTTAAATATTTCATATAATGGTTACTGCTCTGCACAGATAAAAAAAACTCCTAAACTAAGTCTTTACAAGCTATTGCATTAAAAGAAAAAAAGGCGTCGCCTTCTATCACTCGCCGTGGCTCACAGACTCCTTCAGAGTTTCAGTAAAATATTGCTTCCAAATTGTCGAGTTATGTTTTCCATCTGCAGGCCGGATTGCTTTGGCTTCCATTCGGAAAGTCTACTGCACATCACTCCCACGGTCCCACCTCAGCCGTCCATCATCTCCAGCGTGTCTGTCTGCAGAACCAGACACAACTGCCTGAAATATGTGTCCCTCCTCTGAGATAAACTCTGTCATCTGTCATTGGTGGAAATGGGGAGGAAATGACACTCAGACAGACAGCTACATTTCCTAAGAGGACATGTAGGGTAGAATAAGAGATGTAAGCGAAGGAACGGCTGCTGCTTTTCACCGCTGCAAGGCCTCGATGAGGGGAAACGTATTCGTGTTTGTTCTGCCGGATATTTGTCCGATATTAAAACTGCAGTGATGGATGAATGAAAGGAATGAACATTATTTGTGTGGCTAGCTCAATGACAAATGCTTTGAAATGATCAAAAGAGAATATTCACAGGGATCTCTGTCTGGAAAAGCCTTGAAATCATAGAATTTTATTTGATCTTTTAAAGAATATTAATAGAAAAAAAAATAGGTTTTAAGACTTTACCCCTTAATCTATTATTTAAGGAAACAATTGTATTACCAAGATGTTTTTTTACATTAATGTTTAGATCATTGTCCGTTATGTTAAATGTTCTGTATAAAATCTCATCTTTTACCCACTGCTATTATGGCTAAGTGTTTTAAACTGAATCTTAAAACCTAAAATAATTTATAATCAGAATTAAACAGTCCAGCTTTGACAAGTTAAAGATTTTCACTATCAGCTGTTCTAAATTACACCGGATCCCAAAGCAGGGGTAAAATATCCATTAACCAAAGTGCCTGATTTAAAGAAACATTTCAGTCACTTTGCTGTTACATGTTTTATGGTGCATACAGCTAATATAATCCAACAGGTTAAATGTTTTACTTCTTAAATATTTAGTGTTAAATAGAATCTTGGCATTTAAACAGAAATGTCTACATTTTAAAATAGAAAAAGACTTTAAAGATTAGAGTGGCCCAGTTTTGACCGTTGCACAAGATAAGAAAAGTTTTAGGAACTCAAACTAGGCAGGTTTATGTAGAGGTGTGGAGATCTGTTAGCCTTGTGAGACGATCCTGATCTCGCAAGCTTTCAAGGTTTCACTCGCAGATCAGTCTGGCTACTTTCCATTAAAGAAAATTTGGAGCAGTTCACCAAACGAACGTCCAATCAGCGTTGGCTTTGAGGCAGGTTGAGGTGTGACGCAACAAGAAGCGCGACAGCTCAGTCTAAAGAACATGGCGGCTTCAGCCGATGAAACTAGCGTTAGCGTGGCTATCGAGCAAGTTTTATCGGAATTACAGAGTATTTCTTCACTGAAAGAAGAGCAAAACACCGCTCTGGAGGCTTTTCTCAGAGGAAAGGATGTTTTTGCTCTTCTCCCGACTGGTTTCGGCAAGAGTTAGCCTGGCTGTTAGTACGTCATATACTTCGTTGATCTGATTGGTTTATTCGGCCCGTCTATCACCAACATAGGCCAATCAGCTAACCAGTATTTTCGCCCCTTCCCAAAATTACTTCAACGGAAGGTTTCCAGCTGGATATGCGGAGCAAATCCATCTGGTGGAGTCAGGTTAGAGATCTGTCAGGTCTGTGGGCAGGAAGTATCTCCTGTAGTCACTGACTCTGATGCTGCTACACCTGCATATGATGGAAGACCAGATCCTATTCTCTGCTACTGACTTGTAAAAATGACAGCACTGACTTTGACTGGAACTCCGATGTGCAGAGATGGAAAATGATTGGCGAGAGTACAGTTCCCTGTGGTTCTTCTGTGCTGCTGATCACCTCTTAAGTTTGTCAGGTAGTCTTTGATTTAGGAGTCCAGGATTTAATCTGAGTCCCATAGAGTTTATATAATAGTGAATAAGCCTAAAATATCCTGAAGGAATGATATCTGGAGCAAATATCTGGAACAGTCATTAATGCAGATTGGACAAAAGTAGAGATCTGTTGCCATGATGTCACCATTGTAAAAAGCCTAAAAAACATTTACTTACATCAGAGGATGTTCCCTTATTCGCTCCGCCACTCGCCTTAATTTTCCTGCCGCTCCGGCAAATTCGCTCCACGCTCGCTCAAACTTTCAGTTTGTAATCATGCCAGGACCCTGGGACACAAGGCGTTGGATCTTATGATGTGACCGATACATGTGTATTGTCTTATTTAACTGGCTGTTAAATTATCGCACTGTTTCCCAGCTGTGAACGTAACGCCTCACTCCATTCATGTTGCCGCGTTTCCTATTTAAGTATTAATTTATTTTACTAGAGTACATTAAAAAAGGTCACATTGCATCGCATTGCAAATGAGATAACGTATAATGCATGTGTGCGATCCATTTTCAAAAACAGGCTCTTACCACAACAATCACTTTATGTAAACCCACTCTGGATTGTTAAGTGTGGTTAGTGTATGTTTTTATGATATTTTATTCCACTTTTTATCACACAATATGCAATCCTCGTCCCGGGGATTCCGTGGTAAAGTTGAAACATAGACTATAAAAGATCATATGCACAGACTACAGCATAGGCATTGGCCTAGGTTTTAAGCCAAACAAGGTGGAGCAAAATACTCGCTCTGGCCTTTAAATTGAAAACAGCTCTGCCCTCCGCCATATTTCTTCTGCTCCGCTCCGCTCACATGCTCTGCTTATCATCAACCTAGAAGCACAGTAGTGGAGGTTGGATTCCATCATGAAGCAGATCCTATAGGCGTCATGTGTTTAAAACTGAAGCCATGCTGAAACATTACCAACACCACAGGAAATCTGGAGAAGAAGAGCTGGAAGCTTCAGTTGAATTTTGTTCTCAGGAAAAACTACTAATGGCAGAGTTTAATTTTCTTTCACTAGGATTTTTTTATGTCTCATTTTGTTACATTTCCTTTGGAATCAATGAACTGATATTAATTATCTGGATGATTTAGTACTTTTGATGCATTTTAAGTGTATATTTAGGGTCGTGACACATAAAGGCAGTCACTGGTGTGCAAAGTGTTGACTTTCTTTTTTTGTTTCCAGTTTTAATTTGATAAGCAATATACACATTTTATTATTGTTAAGATATGATCAAGAATATACTGTCTGGCTGCCTGCTGGAAATAAGACTTTATATTAGTTCAAAGCTTGTTTTAAAACTTTTACTGACTTTGTTTTTGATGTCTCCTCTGCAGAGAAAAGAAGTTGTCTCGAACCAGTGCTCTGAAGGTCCTGGACCATGCTATGATTGGTCCAGAGGGAGCAGATAACTGCCATAAGTTTGTGGATGTTCTGGGCTTACGGACCATCTTCCCACTTTTTATGAAAACCCCAAAGAAGATGAAGAAAACTGGTACTTCAGAGAAAGAGCACGAAGGTCAGTCTCTAATTATAATCCGAAGCAGCTCGGACTTATTTTTTCTAAGGACAGGAATCTGTTGCAAATATTCAGCTCAGTTCTGACCTCTTTAAATAGTAAAAACGAGGAACTTAAGTTTATATTTTTAGACTTTGGTTATGCAGAACCTTGTGTTACCTGCTAAAAAGGTGCATGTTTTATGAAAATTAAACATCTTAACATCTCTCGTCACGTCATTTAGTAAACTATGTCTTTTTCAGTCAAAAAAGAGGGAAGATGTTTAATATTTAAGAAAGTTTGGCTGCCTTTTTTTATTTTCAATTAAACATGAAAGCTTTCTGCACTTCTCCACTATGCAAATCTCCACTATTGCACTACTTTGTCTACTCTGTCTTGTTTTATCACCTTTTATTACACATAAAAGTTTTATCTGCCTTTAAAATTAATCGCGCATGAACCTTTAATGAACTCATACTTTGATCTCTGTTATTGAATTTTATATTTCAGCAGTGGGTCACCTTGAAGTTTAAATGCTTTATTCTTTTCCATTTAATATGTTACAAATTTTAAATAACTACATATTCTGCTGGACTTTCTCTTGTCTTTTTCTAGGTTCCCTTTTATTCTCCCTTTCGCCTCACACTCAGCTAGCAAGGAAATGGCGCCAATAACAGAAATACAACTCGCGATATCCCCCTCCCTCCCATAGGAAATGAACTGAAACAGGATATTTCAATCATGGATGTTAAGCTAACGAATCTACAGCAACCGTGTGAGGCTATCAATGTTACCTATAAGTGTTTGGTTTGTGTTTTTCAAGGCACAGAACTTAAAGTCGTAGCAAAGTCATATTTAAATGTCAAATCATTCTGGCTTAAACATGTATATAAATGCACTCTTAATCAGATGATATTGTCACAAAAGTTAGAAAATTACTATATATAAAAAAAAGTGTTGTTTTTTTCCACGTTATCTTATGTAGGCCCGTTAGTATTAAATCAGCCTGAACACCTAAATTCAGCCAATCATATATCAAAGTTCTTCTGTCAATCAAATTTTTTTCGGTCATATCATCTTGATTCATATGTCACAGCTAATATACGCTATTACGGTGGCTGGGAAGTGCAAATCAACAATACAATATCTGAAACACTTTTAAAAATCTTGAAACAACTTTACATTTGAGAAAACAAAATTACAACAAACTAAACACTTTCACAAATCATAAAACACATTTACATTTCAGAAAACAAAGTTACAACAAACAAAACACTTTTACAAATCATAAAACAAATTTACATTTTAGAAAACAAAATTACAACAAACGAAACACTTTTACAAATCACAAAACAAATTTACATTTCAGAAAACAAAATTACAACAAACGAAACACTTTTACAAATCATAAAACAAATTTACATTTCAGAAAACAAAATTACAACAAACGAAACACTTTTACAAATCATAATACAAATTTACATTTCAGAAAAATGATTTGTAAAAGTNTGATTTGTAAAAGTGTTTCGTTTGTTGTAATTTTGTTTTCTGAAATGTAAATTTGTTTTATGATTTGTAAATGTGTTTCGTTTGTTGTAATTTTGTTTTCTGAAATGTAAATTTGTTTTATGATTTGTAAAAGTGTTTCACTTGTTGTAAATTTGTTCTCTCAAATGTAGAGTTGTTTCAAAATTTGTAAAAGTGTTTCAGATTTTGTATTGTTGATTTGCACTTCCCAGCCACCGTACTCAATGGTTGAAATAAGAAATAGTATCCCAGTGTTCACGGGGATGGACGTCTGTGTCTTCAGCAGACGTAGAGCTAATAGAACTGGCAGCGTTGCGAGGCAAGGGCTCAAACATGTACAGCTCTAAGCCTTCTACACCAAACCAAGCTTCTGCCGCCCTGGCGTCCTCTTCCGCAACATCTTCGTCCCCGCTTTCCTCCTCTAAATAAAAAAATGTATGACGGAGGAGAGTCCTTCGCAACCTCTGACACTGAACTCTCCTCCTCTTGCATGTTTCTGCTGTCCATAGCGTTCCTTGACAGTGTCGTTTCTTAGTCACCAATTTAGGGCTACTTGGTCCCAATGTCATTTCACATTGGGAACCTACTAGCACTAGGTTGCTAACTGGTTAGCAAGATGCTTACGATAAACCGACCACAATCAAACTTGCTTGCGAATCTTCCACCACAACAATCCCGCCCTCTTGATAAACGACCAATCACATTAACTTTATTCACTCGTGTAAAGCCGGGCACAACTCGTGAGAATTGGGAAATGCAACGGTTGGAACAGCTGCCTCCTTCCGACTTGAAACATCAAATAAAATCAACTGCTTAAAATGCAATCTTTAAAATCAAACGAAACAAAAATAGTAAAAGCTGTGGCGTAAATTTGTCTGCATCTTTATTACTGATATTTGACGTCTCACGCTTTTTCGATAGAGTCGCTCGCTCATGCGTCACTTTGCTCCCTCTTCATCCCGTCTGTTTGATATCCGTCCAATCTTGATTGATTTTCCTGTCTGCTCTAAAGCCTCCTTGCTGGAGTGAGAGGTAGAAGGTCTAAACTAGCGGGAAATAAGATATAAATAAAAGGAATATTAGAATCTCTTAATGGCTTAAATTGTTTGTTTGGCTACATTCAAAAGTTTCATCCGTGTCGGTTGTTTTTTTTCTAGCTGTGCAGAGAAAAACAGATTGTCTGCTTTTGTGTCGATTATCAACAAGAGACTCAAATAAATTAAAAGCAAAAGGAAAATTATGGAAGATAAACTTCCCCTCCTGCATCCCACCCATGTGCTCTGAGATTTGCAAACCTACAGACAGGGAAGAGCACCCACCCCTAAGAGAGGAATTCAAATACATGTTTAAGAAATGGTCAAAACTGACATTAAATCATTAAAAGCTTGTTCCAAATATGAAGAATGAGCTTATTTTTTATGACTGGCCACGAGATTTAGGATGCGAATGAAATTTGTTTACTGAAACAACAAAAAAAACAACAACATATTGTAAATATGCTCTATCCAGAGCTCCGCAGGTAGCCTTTCTGGGCATTGAACACTCACATACAGTGCATTTAAAATGTGCTGTACATGTCTGTTGGTGATAACTTAAAGCACTTGTTAATTGAGGTGCATTAATTTGCTAAGAATTTCTGCTTTTATATTAGAACTACACGATATGGTCTTAGTCTTTTAATAATGCTAAAAAATAGGATTAAAAAAGCTTTTCATAACTTCTTTGCAGTCGTTGTTAGGCATTTTTATTGAATTTATTTTAATTCTGTTTTCAATCTTGGATTGCCTCTACCTTTGAATTCATTTATGAAAATGTTTTCACATTATAAATATCTACTTCCTTGATCGATGTAGTTCGATTCTTGTATGGAAGTGAGTTATTATTCTAATGATCACGAGCGATCCAAGTCTGAATGCTTCTTTATTTCATCTTCTTTTATTTCATGTTCTTTACTCTCAGTAATTTTGCCTGTAGAGGATTTTCCATCACGTCTCCACTGGTTTGTCAAAGTGCCTTAGGTGTAATGAGATGCCTGTCAAAATGCAAATCATATTGAGTTAACCATCCCTCTCTATAAGCCTACTAATTGAAAATGTCATTAATCAAGGGGTTCTTCTGAATAACACAATAACACTGTAGATTAATTAACTATTGTATGCTTCAAACAAAAGTAATTAGGAGGTAGGGACCTCTAAGTCCTTCCCTCTTTAGTCCCGTCTGTCTTTCCAATCCATTTAATTGCTCTCTATTACAAACTATTGCGCGAAGATCGTTCCTTGCAAAATCCTTTCTGAAACGGAGTCACTCTAAATGACCTGAGATCACCAGGCCAGGTTAGCATAAATGGAGCATAATGAATGAAGAGGTTGTATGTGGGAATAAGTAAATAAATAAATAAAAATTTGAAAGGCTGGAAACAAAACCCCAAACGACAAATCGTATCCCGTCGCTCATGAGCATTCTCGTCACATTTCAGTTACTTGTTCTGGGCTTTCTGTTTATTGGTGTATGTACTTTGTCATTACCACCGAAATGAGATTGTGTGATGGAAATTGGTACCAGCCGCTTGTAATATTTAGGTGGCTAATGATGCGAGCGAGAGTTCGAGGGAACAGAAGTAAACAACTAATTTACATGGCGAGGCACAATAGTCATAGTTCCATCTCCAACTCTGACTCGGAAAGGGGTTTGTTTGTTTGTTTGCTCATGTGCATGCGCCTTGTGTTGGTAGAGAGTGAGGCTGAGAGACACCGCAGATGCCTTTGTACTTGATGTAATTTAAATTCCACACAAACAAGCTCCCAGAGCTGCAGATGCCCGAGTTGTGACCCTTATTTTTCTAATGAATGCTCTCAAATAAGTAATGAGGAAGGCATGCATGCTGAGAGAGACCTGTATTAGAGAAACTGTCAAATTCTAATGCCTCTGCTGTTCTTTGGATATTTGCATTAAAAGGAAAAAGGAAAAGCCCCCCTAATGAAAACAGAATGTCTTTATTAAAGCAGCTGCTCCTGCAGACAAAACAGAGGTTGTAGGTTCATTATATATTTATGAGAGAAGTCTAAACAAGCAGTTAGATTACTACTATTTATTCTTTTGCCACAAATGTAGATTTTCTATTTCTATTTCTTTTATTATGAGTGCAGTGTTTAGTAAACCTAAGTTAGACTTAGACAAACTTTGTCATTTTGTTTCGACATTTCGTTTATACAGCTTTCCGAACCCTCAAAGTAATAAAAATCTTTTTTTAAACAGTGTCCTGCCTGGCAATGTGGCAACAAGAATAATTGTATTGATGCCCAAAAAGAGCCAAACACATTTTGCTTTCACAGGTGGAGCAGTACAGCTATCGCAATAGTGTTCCACTTGATTTATGCATAAAAATAGCTTTATTATAATTCATGCAGGGAGTATTACAGATTATATGGACACTGCAATGTAAGTAGAATAGAAGAGGAAAAACAGGAAAATGGAGAAAAGATGAAAGAAAAAGG